TTTACATCATTTAAATAAATAATTTTACTTTTTCAACTAATTTGCTAAACACTTAATATATGTATATATAGATGTATATATACATGTAGCTGTATAAAAATGTCAGTTTTAAGTAAGTATGTTTAAGAAAAAAAATTGTTTTAAAGATTTGAAAATTATATGTATAAGAGAGCATGTGCCAGGAGTATGCGTCGCGTGTTGAGATTTTACTTTTTTTTTAACATTTCATTTTGAATCCGCCATTTTAAATTTCTAAATTTTGAGTTCAGATTCGAAATCAGCGATCATAAAAGCTCCTAAGTACCTAATTTGACAGCAATTGGAGCATTTTTAGCATTTTTGTTCGCCATGTTGAATCCATCATTTTAATTTTCTAATTTTTAAGTTTGGATTCGATATCAGCGACCTCAAAAACCTTTGAATATTCAATTTAACAATTAGAGCACTTTTTGGCCACTTTTTCTGATCTCTTGGCTCACTGTGCGACGGTTAAAACTTTTGAATGTTGTTCAAAATCATGACTTGGATAATTTATCAAGATCAAAGCCATTGGAGGTCGTACTGCTTGTTTTCATTTTTACGTAGAAATATAATTTTTAATGCAAAAATAAAAATAAGAGAAATAATCTCCAATGGTCTTGATCTTGATAAATATTATCGAAGCGATTCTGAACAACATTCAAAAATGCTAATGCATTATGGCGATGCTGTAACTTGCAAGCCTTGTAACTCGAAAAGTACTAAAATGAAAAATAATTTCATTATAGTGTTTTGAAAAGGTTTTGAGGCAAGCAACAAGAATAAATGTGCAATAAAAAACAGTGGATTTCGTTTAAGAGATTGAAGGTAACCTTCACGTGACCTTCGAGCAACTATTCAAGGTCAAACTAATGACACTATGTCCCCTTCAAAGCCATACAATTTTTATCTGAAACTTTTTTCTAAAATCAAAAATAAAAAAGTTATGTTTGTTTGGGGACATTAAAATGGGACTGTATAATGTAAGAGATTAAAAAGTATTGGCTTTGATCTTGACAAATATTATCCAGGTCATGATCTCGAACAACATTTAAGAGATTTTAGTCATCGGTCAGATACCTTTGGTAATGCTAATGTGTTTTGAAAAGCTTTTAACACCGGCTATTAGATTCTGGAATAACAAATAGAGTCCTATCTTAAAAAAATCGATTTGACCTTAACCTGACCTTGGCTACCTAAAATCAAACTGATAAAATCTAGTAGAAGTAGATCTTTTTATACCTTATAACTTTTGTTTGAAACATTTCTTTCAAAAACATCTTTTCGAGTAAATTCAGAGTCCCGACCTTTTTTTAACATCCTATAAATAAAAATGTACAAATAAAAGTACAGGTTGATGAAAAGCGAAAATTATTATATAGGTAATTATTAGGTGTACAACTTTGCTTCCGCCATTTTTTTTTCCGAAATTCGAAGCTTTATTGTAAAAAACTGGTTATATTTATGATTTTTTATGATTCAAAGTATTGTCCATCGCTGGCTACTACTTTCTCCCATCTTTCGGGTAGCGTACGAATCCCGCGTCGAAAAAACTGGTCATCTTTTGATGCTATCCACGAATCGATCCAATTTTTTATTTTTTCATAAGATCGGAAGTGCTGGTCAGCCAGGCCGTGTGCCATTGATCGAAACAAGTGATAGTCAAAGGGAGCAACGTGGAGAATACGACGGCTGGGATAGGACTTCCCATTTCAACGTTTCCAAGTATGTTTTGACCACTTTCGCAATATGAGGTCGAGCATTGTCATGCTGCAAAATCACTTTATCGTGTCTCTCGTTGTATTGCGGCCGTTTGTCTTTCAATGCTCGGCTCAAACGCATCAATTGCGTTCGATACCGATCGCCTGTGTTGTTTCAGTCGGTTTTAACAGTTCATAATACACTACGCCGAGCTGGTCTCACCAAATACAGAGCATGACCTTGGAGCCGTGAATATTCGGTTTGGCCGTCGACGTGGAAGCATGGCCGGGAACTCCCCATGATTTTCTGCGCTTGGGATTATCGTAATGAACCCATTTTTCGTCCCCAGTCACAATGCGATGCAGAAATCCCTTCCGTCTTTGCCTTTCAAGCAGCTGTTCACAAGCAAACAAACCGTTCAACATCTCTCGGCTTCAATTCGTACGGCACTCAATTTCCTTGCTTCTGAATCATTCCCATGGCATTGAGACGTTTTGAAATGGCTTGTTGAGTCACTCCCAATGATCGTGCCAATTCTTTTTGATTTTGACACGAGTCTTGCTCAAGTAATGCTTCCAATTCTGCATCTTCGAAAACCTCTCTTCCACCGCTATGCCGGTCTTCGACGTCAAAATCGTTCTTGAAGCGTTGAAACTGACACGTTCTTTCACTAATAACGGCCTCACCATAAGTATTTGAGAGCATTCGATAAGCCTCAGCCGCAGATTTCTTCATATTGAAGCAAAAAATTGAAACCTCCCGCAAATGACGAGAATTTGGCTCGTAAACTGACATTTTCAATCGAGAATAACTTTATGATGCAGACACAAATCGACTAATGTTTCTATGGGGTTATGTTGACAGATGCCCAAGTTTATTGTATGACGTCTATGATCTATTTATTTCGACCACCACTTACCGCTAAAGCCATTTATAGGAAAACGGCGGAAGCAAAGTTGAACACCTAATACACTAAATTTTTAAAAATGTATATAATATGAAGGATTAAAATCTTTATACATTAATAATAAATCTATTTAAACTTGAACTTTTTGTATTTAATTTACTGTCTGTATTTAAAATAAATTACGATTATCATAAATAATCATATGTAAAATATAAAGGGAAAGAAAATAAGAGACAATGAGTTAAATACTTGGATTCAAATAGATGCACAATTATGCCACATAAATTATTTTTTGAAAACTATATAAAGTTGATAAAAAACTATATATATATTTATAAAGCTTACTGCTATTGTAATTATTACTTTATTGTAATTATACAATAAAGTAATGTCTTCTATAATAAATTAATCCAACATGTAAATGAGCATATAAGCCAACGCTGATTTTTATTGCGAATATTTAATATTGTTTATTTATTACATAATGTAACAAGATCTTTCGTTTTTCCATTATTAGGTCATCTTCAGTTTTTAAAATGCAATGTTTATCTATTGTAATTTATCGTTACCTTTCTTGTCATTCTTCTATCTTATAAATAATTTTCCTAAGTCTTAAACTATACTATAATTTAAAAAATTATAGTATACAAAAATTATAATTGCGAATATAATTAAGATTTCTTGATTTGATATTCGCCACTTTGCATATGTATGCTTCACTGATAGTATATTATTCAGTTTCTTTTATAGATAGCTTGATTTTGTCACAAAACGGTGTTATACATTAGTATTTTATTTATATTGCAACAATTGTGATCATTCTTTACATGGAAGTTATCATTTAGTAACATCAAATTAAGACTTGAAACTTTGTCTATATTCTACTAAATCGTTGTATTAATTCTTTAATCATCAAATTTATGAAAGTCAATAAAATATAATAAAATAAAATTTAGTCAATTGTGATAAGAAAATCAAATTAATCAGTTAATCAATACTTTTAAATATTAAAAGGACAAACATAAAAGAGAAAATAATTGTTATAAATTTGAATAAATAATATATAATCATTAAAATAAGAAAACCTGATTATGAAATTTAAAATAATTGTCTATGACAAAGCTTATATTTTTTTTTTACAAAGAATCATGTTAGTATTCATCACTTTGTGTTATAAATTTTTAAAATAATTTTATGTGTTTATAATTTATAATGTGTT